CAGCTCAGGCAGAAAAGTTTGGGAGACACCCCTCTCCACAGAAGGAAGTCGTACATGTAGCCCATGCCTGTGATCTCAGGTGGATTGTACTCAGGAATGTTCGCAGGTGGGAACTGAGACCCTATCCTGAAAATAGTAAACCAACCAACAAACAGGATTGGAGGTTTGGCTCCAGAGTTAGAGCAACAGCTTTCTAAATCTGAAATCCTGAGTTCAAGTTCTAGTACCACACACATAAAAAATGCAATATAACAATTATTTACATAGTAGTTATATTTAGATATTACATGTAATCTAGAGATTTAAAGTATACAGGAAATGTGCACAGGTCATATGGAAATACTATGCCATCATCAGCCTCTAAAGATTTTGGCATTTGTTGGTGGTGCTGTGGCTCAAGTGGTAAAGTGCTAGCCTTGAGCTGAAGAGCTGATGAACAGCCCCCAGGCCCAGAGTTCAGGCCCCATGACCAGACCCCCCTCCCCCCACAAAAAAACCAAAACCAAAACCAATCTGAGCAGGAAAGTCTGTGGGACTCCATCTCTCATTCTTAGCAAGATGCTAGGCAACTGTATGTATATTTCTAGAAATTCCATTTGTTTTTCTCGAATGATACTTTCTTTTTAGATTAACTTGATTTTTCTTAAGGTTTAATGATTCCTGTTGACTAAACTTTTTCCCATTCTGATTCTTCCACTTTTTGCCCTCTTAGTTTGATACAATGAAGACATACACAGAGAATGTGAGATTCTCTGTGGGAGTATCTGTATGAGTTTGAGTTCTTGGACTCTTAATCCTGTCATTTGTGTTCTCTGTAATGGGGGGTTGTTACCTTGTGGTTTTGTGGCGTGTGATTGTGAATTGTTATTAGCAGGGCTTGCAGCCTGGATTGTGGATGGTCGCTCCTCTTTTTAAACTTGCTTCAGCCAGAAACCTCAAGTGCTATCACTGGACTTCTTTCAATTCTTAGGTCAGTTTAGCAGCCTGTTGGATAGTGTAAATTTGAACTCTGAACTTGCATGAAGTCTTAACTGTGGTTTCGGATTCTCCAGGAAGATACTTCCCTGCTCAGGGCTATCACCCAGTGCCCAGCCTGGGATACACAGCTTTTGTCATCTGGAGCAGCTATGTTTTTCTACCATTTGCTTCTCACTTCAAAAACCTGGCCTCAGTCAAAGTGCTGGTGGCTTATGCCTGTAATCCTAGCTACTCAGACCTGAGAGGATTGAAATTTAAAGCCAGACTGGAAAAAAAGGTCTGTGAGACTTATCGTCAGTTAACCAGCAAAAAGGCAAAGTGGAGCTATGGCTCAAGTGGTAGAGCACCAGCTTCAAGTGAAAAAGCTAAGGGACAGCACGTAGGCCCTGAGTTCAAACCCAGTACCAGCTCACAAAACAAAAATAACTTGTGCTGGGTGTCAGTGGCTCATACCTACAATCCTAGCTACTCAGGAGGCTGAGGTCGAAGGATCACAGTTCAAAGCCAGCCTGGGCATGAAACTCTGTGAGACTCTCAAATTAATGAGCAAAATAACTCGAAAGTAGCTCTGTGGCTCGAAGTGTCAGAGTGCTAGCCTTGAGTGATAAAAGCTCAGGAATAGCACCCAGGCCGAGTTATAGGCCATGTAGTTGTAGGACTGCAGGTCACCAGAGCTCCAGCAGTGAACACTCTTGGACACTGCTCCAGTTTGCAGTCTTGGACTGGGTAGTGGGGCACGGGGCTGCCTAACATGAGACCCTCCAGTGGGCAGTCTGCCTCAACATCTTTGTCAGGCCAACACACGGCCAGCACTGCTGTCCCTCTTTTCCAGTCTTCCTTCCTCACTTCTGCTTTCACAGGTATTGGACCTGCCTCTGGCCTTAGTAACAGCCTACGAAGTCCTGCCTTCTCTTATTTGGTCTTCTCTAGCAATTATTTCTACAACCAATTTCTTGAAGTGGTGTGTGTGTGTGTGTGTGTGTGCGCGCGCGCGTGCACGCACATGTGCACTCTTTGCACTTTTGCTTGGCTGTTGTTTTTTTGCTCATGCCTGGCACTCCACCACTTCAGCCACACTTTCAGTATGGCATTTTGCTGTTTAATTGGAAATGGTATCTAAACTTTTCTTCCTGGGTTGGCTGTAAACTGTGACCCTCCAGATCTGAGGCTCCTGAGTAGCTAGTATTGTGGGCATGAGCCTCCTGGGCCAGGCTGTTTCTTACACTTGGCTGTACTTTTATTTTGTAGATTCAGCATTTGCTTCACAGGGCACCCAACTTCCTATCACGTTCTGGTGCTGGGGTGTTTTTTTTTTTTTGGTTCCGGTTGTGGGGCCTGAACTCTGGGCCTGGGTGCTGTCCCTCAGCTCTTCAGCTCAAGGCTAGCACTCTACCATTTGAGCCACAGCACCACTTCCGGCTTTTTTCTTTTTGCTTATGTGGTGCTGAGGAATCGAACCCAGGGCCTCAGGCATGCAAGGCAAGCACTCTACCACTGAGCCACCTTCCCAGCCCTGGTGCTGGGGTGTTTGCTTCTGAACTACGCATTTGCTGACCATGCCTTCTGTAGAGCGCCAGTTTTTACATCCTAGATCCCTAGCCAGCTCCTCCTCTTATTCCATTTCAGGTACAGGCAGCAGTGACTCCTGCTTACAACTTGGGGGTGCAGTTTTGTCTTTGTTTTGGGAAGGTAGGCTTTTCCTTGTTTCTTTTTATCTGAGTTTTGAGTATAAAGGTATGTTTTTTAATCTAATCCAGAATTTCCTGATGTTTCTATCAGCAATGTGTTTGGATCATAACATTCACAACATTTGCAGTTATTACTTTTTGACTCCAAATCTTTTTTTTTTTTTTTTTTGTTGGCTGTGGGCCTGAACTCTGGGCCTGGGCGCTGTCCCTCAGCTCTTCAGCTCAAGGCGAGCACTTTACCACTTGAGCCACATTGCCCCTTCCAGCTTTCTGGTGGTTAATTGGAGATGAGTCTCACGGACTTCCCTGCATGGGCTGGCTTTGAACCGCCATTCCTCAAATCTCAAGACTCCTGTGTAGGATTACAGGTATGAGCCCGACAACCCCAAATCATTCACATGTGTATATTTATTTGCTGTTGAAAGATTTCAATAATCATGTATTAAATTATACTCTAGGTTAAAAGAAACTTGATGATACCAAAATCCAGGACTCATTTTTTTAGCTGGCTATCAAGGAATCCAGGCCTCCTCATGATATATAAACCCAGTGCCTTGCTGTTAGACAGCTTTCAGATACATGCAAAGGAAGGAAGGGTGGGCTAGGATGACAGATGGAGGTCTGAGCAGGGGTCTGTGCAGAACCAGGGAGGTGCCGCTTCTCCCTGCAGAGATAAAGGAAGGCTGGGTTGTACTTCGAGCCAACACCTGAGGGGCATGCAGAACGTGCCAGGTGTCATGGGCCTGAGGAGAGCAGACACAGCTGCAGCGGGAAAGGTATGTGTGAAGACGCGGACAGCGTGGCCCGTGGCGCTTGTTACTCTGGCCAATGAGAGGCAAGTGGGGTGCTCTCCTCCGGGGGGCGCTCTGCTCAAGTTTAGATCTTAACCAACAGAGGAGTCCTTGTATAGGTTTTTAAACAGGGAGCAACAGTGATGAGGTTTCCCAGTTAGAAAAGGAGGCAAGAAAGGCAAAGTCAGGGGAAAAAAACGTGACAAGAATAGCAGAGGTCACCCTGACCCCTTAGGAGGAAAGCTCCACCAGCAAGGAGGGCGGCCGGCGGCGGGTGGAGATGGGTGCTCCTGGAGCCCCCACCGGAAGGCACTCTCTTACACCTTGACTAGAGCTCCAGAAGACTGAACTAACTGCAGACCCTTTGCCTCAGCTTAAGTCTAAGCGTGTGATTAGTTGATGGCAGCAGCACAGGACAAGCCCAGGAAGAACAGCCATGCTTGGGCCCCAGAAGTGTGTGGGGCTGGTGGCAGCCGCTGACCTCAACCCCCAGCCTCACCCCACTTCCCCCATGTTCTGTCTCCTACTCAGTGAGGCCAGGGGTTCTGGCTGGACATTCAGATTCCGGCACACAGTGTGCGGAGGTAGTGGGGGAAGGCCACTGTGAGCCAAGTCACTGGCTTCTAAGTCTCCTATGGGGAATATGGCTAGAAGTGCAGGTGGGGTCACGTTGGCAAGAGGGATTGTGACACTGTCCTGATTCTCCGTCGTGGCCTGGTTAAGTGCTGCTGTCCATTCTTTGCACCCCACATCATTGACTTCCATAGAAAAAATGAAGGGGTGCATTTTTATTTTTAAAAAAAGCCACAAAAACTATGACCAAAACCAAGCTAAATCAAAACGCTATGACCAAGCACACTGCCAGTGCCTTACACCTGTAATCCCAGCTACTCAGGAGGCTGAGATCTGAGGGTGGTGGTTTGAAGCCAGCCTTGGCATGAAAGTCCACAAAACTCTTATTCCCAATCAACCACCAAAAAGCTGGAACTAGAAGCTTGGCTCAAGTGGTAAAGGGCCAGCTATGAGCAAAAAGCTGGGCGAAAGGAGGCCAAGCTCCAGTACAGCACTCCCTCCAAACACTCCCCCCACCCCCAAACCTACGACCTAAATGAAGTAGAACAAAAGAGATAAAATGTTGGCAGTAGTTAACTCTGTTGGGTAGGAGTGTGGGCCTGGCCTAAGCCCCCAGGACTTGAGTAAGGTAAGTAGAGGCATGGCCTCCTGCCCAGCCAAGAGATGTGGCTTGACAACCTGAAGTTTCTCAGACTTTCCTAGCTTTATACCTATCATCTCAAATTAAACTAAATTACACAAACCGTGCTTATATTTTGATGCGAAGGGATTTGATGTTTTGTCTTCCAAATGTCAATTTTCTTCCTTGGACTCATTTTCCTGGACACTTTTGCTCAAGGACAGGGTCACCTCTCTGGGACTAAGGTGACGGAGGGCAGGTGGGACTGAAGACCGACTCCCCGGGGGCCTGGGGGATGTGGTGGCAGCACCAGTGATCATGGTGCAGGTCCAAGAACACAATCCGCCAAACTGCCTTGGTGCTGGTTAGGTTTTATTTTAACAGGATGTTTTCTGCTCATTTGTTTTTGAAAATATCAGTTATATCAATATTAGAAGTGTAAACAGGTACAAAATATACAGTACATAGAAACAATTGTCTTAACTAGTCTATTCCTAACAAAAGTACGCAGGAGGAGCTGAGTGAATGGGCATCGTGGTCTTGCCCTCTGCAGGTGGACTAGTTACCCGTTTGGGCAAGAGGACCAGTGCCTGCTCCAACAAATGGGAATGGATGTGTGTGTGGCGGGGCGGGGACGGGACGGGACCTGAAACCTGGGCTGATGGTAATTCCACCTTGGAGGTACTGGGGGTGGCTGTGAACCAGCCTCCTAGACTGCCTTCTGAGTGCCCCGAGGGCAGGGCAGTACATGCCCCTAAACACTTACAACCAGGAGGACTCAAGTGGGCACCCAGGGAGCTGCTGAGCCACGAGTCCATGAGGCCTGAGGATCTGACTTGCCAGTGTGGGGCACACTGGTAACAGGACAAAGCCTGAAGTCGTCTCTTACCTAACAGATTCCAAGGAGCACAGCTCGCTCCAGCCGCTGGCACACGCCGTGAAGCCAAGCGGGGCTCTGAGCCCTTTATTTCCTCATCTCCAAAAAAGAAATACCCGTCTTGCTGCTCTTCTGAAAGCCACGGGAATGCTCAAATGAGATGTGGCATGGAAGCATTGTGAAAATGAAAACACCACATAAAGGTCAGCAAACGGAAGCACTGGGGGGTACAGGAAGCGGCCTGAGGAGGATGACTGCTGCCTCATCTCTGGCTCTGGGGGACCAGATGGACAGGGGTTCAACACCCAGCCTTGAATTCCTCACCCTTCAGACCTAGCGCCGCAGCTCCACCTGACTCTCCTTGGCTGAGCCCAGGAGCCACACAATGGAGAATGGCTGTGTTGCCCTGGACAGATACCACAGATGGCCTGCACTAGGGAAAGTCAGGCCAGTATTTTGGGGGGACTTTCCAGAAGTTAGGCTGGAAGATGCACTGGCTGCCCCTAGGGGTCATTCCTGCTGAGTGGAGCCTGGGCTTCTCATCCGGCCCCCTTACTGTCCAAAGCCCCAGCCCCATACTGGTGGCCTGAGCAGAGCTGGATGGCCTGGTCCAAGGACCCGGGGGCTGGGGGTCAGTGGGGGTATCCAGAGCCCTCGCCCTGTCCCCACTGACCAAGCTTCCAGTGCTCGGGGCACAGAGGACACACACTTCTGAAAACCAAAAGTACACTACGAAATTCCAAAAGGCCTGCTACCGGGTTCCAGCTTTTTCTTCAAGAATTAAAAAGAAAAGAACAAAAACCAGTTTGCAATTAGGTTGCTTCAAATGCTACTAAGGTGTTCAGTTCCCCAACCAGTTTCCTACGGTGTTCAGAGGTGGGAGCTCCCTTGTCGGGCAGTTTCTCGTTTCCAGTGATCAGTTCAGCATCATGGAAATTTGGTTCTCTGCGAGTTCCCCATTGAGCTCTCTGCATTGGCGCTGTCCTGATTTCTGCAAACGGGGCTTTGTACATCTGCAGCCCGCGGGGGCCCTGGGTGGGCCGGGGCGTCTCACAGGTCCCCAGCGTCGGCGGGCCCCAGGACACCCAGGCCGCAAGTCCAGTCGGCCACTAGGTCCGTGGAGGCCAGGGGTCCTTTGGCGGCGGGGCTCTTGAAGGGGTCGGGTGGGGCCGCGGGCAGCGGGGGCAGCGGCGGGAGCGGCTGGCCGTGGGCTGGCGCCTTGGCGATGGCCGGGTGGTTGCGCTGGTGCTTGCGGAGGTGGTCCTTGCGGATGAAGCTCTTGCCACACACGGTGCAGGTGAAGGGTCGCACACCCGTGTGCGTCCGGTAGTGGTCGATGAGCTTGGAGCGCTCGGTGAAGCGCTTCTCGCACTCGGTGCAGGGGAAGGGCCGCTCACCCGTGTGCAGCATGCGGTGGCGGATGAGGTGCGCAGGGCGCGTGAAGCAGCGGCCACACTCCCCGCACCGCAGGGCGTTGCTGTCCCGCCCGCCACTGCCCGTGGTGCTGGAGGCCGTGCCCGCCCCATCGGGCAGTCCGCAGCTGCGCTGGTGCGCGCTCAGGCTCACCTGCAGCTGGAAGCTCTTCCCGCAGGTGGCACAGGTGAAGGGCCGGCCCCCCGGGGGGGCGGGCGGGTGCTTCTTCTGCCCTGGCTTGTGGCCAAAGCCTTTTGTCCGGCCTGGGTATTTACAGGGCTCGTTGAAGGGTCTTGGAATCTGGCTGGGGTCCAAGATGACCTCTCCGTTGTCGGAGGAGAAAGGGAGTCCCTCAGGCCCAGTCCTGGGGTTCAGGCCCACTGGAGGCTTACACCGGAAATTCCAGCCCCACCGGACTCCCCCGAAGAGCCAGTCCCCGGCGGGCGCCTCCTCCTGGGCCACCGCAGGGCTGAGCTCACCCATGTCCCTCTCGGGCCGGGAAGGCTCCCGCAGCCCCAGCACAGGGTCCTGGCCAGGGAAAGCGCTGCCCTGGCTCTCCCAGGCTCCTTCCTGGATGGGACTAGGGAAAAACCTTGCAGCTTGGCCTGGTGCAAACAGAGCTCCGTGAGCCTCCAGGTCTGTGGGGTGTACCGGGGTGGCTATCACCTCCTCCTCCTGCACTTCCGTTTTGATCACAATTTTTACATCTGCTGAGAAAGACAGAAGGACAGATTATTCTAGCAGTCATGTCTGGAGTGAAGGACCTGGTGCCTTCATGCGGACACACAGCAGCTCTCGGCCAGGGACCACCACCTGGGTCACAGCCAGTCTCAGCAGGGCAGCCCTCACAGCAGAGAGGCTGCCTGAAGCCTGGAGCAAGCTGGCTTCCTGGAGCCTTTACCAGGAGCAAAGCAACCCCAGACCTGACTCTTGAGTTCTGTTAAAGGTAATCTTGAAGGAAGGCTGACCATGGAGGCCAGGGCCAAAGCACAGGCATGGATGCAGACGGATCTGGACCTGAGCCACAGCTCTGCTGTGCAACCAGCTGTGGCCATCAGGCCCCGGTCCCCTGGGACCGCCCTGCACCACGGCTGCGTGGGGATGAACTGGGTAACACACTGGGCAGCACTTCAACACCTCATGCGGCCTACGTGGGCCAGCAATCAATACATGTAGCCACCTACCTCGCGAGGAAAGAACCCGTGAATGAGCAGACATTTGTGGTTTTATATAACCCAAACTGATTTTGGTCTAAATATACTTTTATTTCATACCCTAAAGTTTTAGGTCAGGGATCATGATTTTTAACACATTTAGGGAGGAGAGTGCTAACATATGACAGAAATTACGATTTAAGATATCAAGTAACTGGCTTTCCGTACAAGAGGAAATGAATACATAAATTTGGGAGCTGTCCTTCAGACACCTGTCTTTGGTAGTGCTAATACCTAAGAAGTAGTTTCAGTTTGGATTTTTTTTTTTCTTTTTTGGTCTAGTCGTGGGGCCTGAACTCTGGGCCTGGGCGTTGTCCCTCAGCTCTTCAGCTCAAGGCTAGTGCTCTACCACTTGAGCCACAGCACCACTTCCGGCTTTTTCCTTTTTGCTTCTGTGGTGCTGAGGAATAGAACCCAGGGCCTCAGGCATGCAAGGCAAGCGATCTACCACTGAGCCACCTTCCCAGCCCTTGTTATTGTTTTT